CACCTGTAGCCTGTTGCCCCTGCTGCTCCTGCTTTTTTTATTGTTTGGTGTATGGATATAGTTGATTGAGAAATTGCCATGGTGGTGCCACAGGAGAGGGCTCCCTCAAAGAACATTTATCCTGGAAGTTTGATTGTGGGCATGGTTTGATCAAACCTCACTGAGGTTCAGTCGCCTTCAGTCTTGTTAAACACCTGCAGTATTCATCAAAGTCTTCTACCCTGGGACTAAGTCACACATAGTCCTATCAGGCTTTTAAAAATAGGGTTGTAATGGGGCTTAGCTCCATGTATCCAGCGCCACTGAGTGCCTGTGTGAGGCATGGGAGAGAAACCTTCTGCCATTATGATTTGTGCCAAGAAGTTTGTTTTAGCTGGTAGTGTTTGTCCTCAAGCTGTTTAAAGCCTCCTAAAGAAAATGTGCTAATGTCCTTTGGGAGGTCAGATTCTTGTCAGCTGGCCCCTCCTGAGCTATGGAACAGAAGGAGGCCTGAGAATCTAATCATGATTTGCTAAGAACCTTCGTGCAAAATGCTTTTATTGCTGCAGCCTCTGTGTGAGCTAAGCTCCTTTCACGGTGTGGCACGTGCAACCCTGTAACTCCTACCCCAGTTTTACTGTTTCTCTTGCCTCCGCACATTTTGTCTACTTAAGCTCAAGAGTCCCCTTCCCAGAGCTCCACCTTCACGCACAAGGGAGGGGCCTTATCTCCTCCTGTGTCCACCCTTTGCTGTTGTGATGGCTAACGCTATTTCTCTGCCTTCTGCGTTCTCCGTGCGGAGAAGTTACAGGGCAAGAAACTGCCTGGAGACGCTGTTTGCTTTGCAGCGTGGTGCAGAGCTGGCCGGAGGGACATGGGATAGAGCGAGGGGGCAGGGACGTAGGTGGTGTGGCAGAGCTTGCCTGTTATTTGCTTGAGAGGTCACTTTCTCAAGCGATGCTCTGTGGTGTGTGGCTGTGAATTGGGGTAGTATTTCTCTTCTAAATAAAACTTACATTAATGCTTTCTCTCCTAGGAAGCAAAGGATTTTCTGAATTACGTTGTTCAGTGAGTATCTCTTGACTCTTGCACCACTCATTATGTGGAAACTATAGTCAAGTTCAGATTCTTTCCTGGAGGAAGGGATCAGGGTGGGAGAGATGCAGAAATTCCCTTCTCCCCTCCTGGATGCGGTGCTGCTGGTGTCTGCAGGAGCTGACTGTTCATTGTGGCAGTTTAAGCAGGACATTGTTCTGGTTTGGGGAGAGGAAAATAGTGTCAGACTGAGTGTTGTATTGGTCTTGGTTAAGATGTGATGGGTGTTTGACACACTGCTGTCTGTGCTCCCTTCAGAAAGCTCCAGTTTGCCCCTCTGGCCCATCCTTGCCCTGTTCAGTTCCGGGTGGTGGATTTGCCAAACACACATCTGCTCTGTAAGGTGAAAACCCTCAACAAAGGTGATGCCAACTCTGAAGTGACAGTGTATTACCAGGTAATGCGTTAGCTTGGTGCGTACTCGTCTATTCCCTCTGGTAGCTGCTGATGCTACGCTTGTACTTACGTCAGTCTTGAGAGCAGTCTCTGGACAGGGATGTTGCAGAGAGTGCACCGAGACCTCGTGTGAGCGCTCACCCTGGGCCCAGGAGGCTGAGCCCAGGCGGGCTCTCGCAGCGTGTGGCATTCCCCGAAACCAGCATCCTCCCCTCCCGGCCTGTGCTAGTGCAAATAGCCGGGTTTGTGCCTTGGTGGTTTCCTGGTGTCCTCACCACTGATCGCATGGTCAGCGAGCCCCTCCCCTCTCTGCTGAAGGCCCTACTGAGGCCCCCACGGAAAACAAGACTTTCCAGCTGTCCCTGCTGTGAATTGTAGTTCAGGCTGAGGTGTGTATGCCACAACTGTCACCTTGGTCTGAACCTCATTTAACTCCATGAAATCATCCTAAATCTTCATTTTCTTTCTAGTCAGGTGCCAGGAACCTAAGGGAGTATACTCTTATGGAGCTGCTTGTGGTAAGTTCGATTTTGTCCCTCCTAACTCATCAAAGTGTCTTCCTGAAAACAATGCTTGGAGCTAAAACAAGGCCATGGGGCTAAGTGGTACAAAGAGGACAGCATGTATATATTGCTCACTCTGGTGAAACTTGTGAGTGTTTGGGACAGGATCCCCAAACTGCTGCGGTGATGGACAGTATGGAAGACTGTTCGCTTACCTACCAACCTGCAGCTGGAAAGGCAGCGCTTCAGTTGTTTTCCCATGCTGTGATCACGTTTCGGTATGGAGCCCGAGGGGCGGCTGCAGGGGAGCAGTGCTTCTGCTGTAACGCATTTGTGCTCCATTTCAGATGCACATGGAAGAGCCTTGCTTCGACTTCCTGAGAACCAAGCAGACCCTTGGGTGAGTTCACTGCTCCTACGCACCTGATTTTGCCCTTCCCTAGTATTTTTACTCTGGAAACCCTTCCGGCACAGTGGCTAATTCTTCAATTACTGTAATGGGAACAGCAACATAAACACATCAAAACCAAGAGCAGCCATTGATACAAGCTGCAGCCAGGTTGCTTTTGAGTCCTATAAGAATTGCATCTCTTAGCAGTGTGTTAAGTCAGAATTATTCAGCATCACGTTGTTCCTTCTACTTCCTAAATCAGCTCCCCATTCCCCAGGGCTGTTTTTACAGCGGCTCTGTGGTGTGTAACAGCCGCCCTCGGAGGCACCCTTCTACTGCAGGAAACTGGAACAAGCTTTTCCCAGCTGTACGTCTGTCACTCTGATGAATTAGTCTGCAGGAACACAAACACAGATACTCTGCCAAGCTTAAAAGGGTTTCCCTAAAAATCAGAAAATGCTGAAGTGCAGTGATGCAGGAAATAAAGGAAAGATGACTATTGAGAATTTATATCTGAGATTTTTCTTTCTAAAGTACCAACGCTATTTCAGCTTATAGCATGTCCTGTAAATGAAAATTTAATTTGTGCTTGTGGAATGACTATTATTACCCCCCCTTTTCTTTTTTAAGATACCATGTGTACCCTACCTGCAGGAATACTTCTGGGATTCTTGGCTTCTCGGTCACAGTAGCAACCCAAGCAACTAAATACAAGTAAGTAAGCATGTGCTCTGTGGTTAATGTTTGTCACCTCTGAGCCGCCAGCGCCCAGTTCTGGTGACCGTACCACACCATGTCCACCACATCCTCCCGGCAGAGGCTCAGGCAGCAGGGCCTGGCTGGTACAGACAGGCTCTGCTGGAGGATGTGTCTCGGGGGTCTGCCAGCCTGGGACTGGAGGAATCAGCTGGCTGTTCCTTGCTGTATTTTGCTGTGCAAAGCATCTCAGTAAATGGCAGCTCTTGCTGCTGCTGTCATCTGAGTAAGAAAGACTTCAGCATAGGAAATTTACGGCAACTGGTTTTAGAAAAGTCAAGCTTAACAAGGTGGCTAGTGGACCTTGCATGTATTTGGCACTGAATATCTGAGCCTCATGGGATGTAGTGGGGTATCATCAGACTAACTGTGACCATGTTTACATGTTGTATTTTGTGTAAGTGGTGTATTTACACAGCAGCCAGCTGAAGAGGTACTACTGGGAGAGTTTCACTTAATCTTCTACTTTTACTGCTAGATCAGGTCATAGCTGACTTCAGTTTGCTTTTGCTTGAGCTTTTCTGTGCACCTGCTCTCATTTAAGAGTTCACACCTGTTTCAGGCCATGGAGGGTTGGTTTTTATTCTATGAGGGGAGTTCTGGAAGAGCCCAAAGGGAATGTCAAAAAGAGTCCTGGCTTCAGCTCGTGACACTGCTGACAGTTGTGACATAGTGACTGAAAAACAACACCTAAATAAAGCAATAGCCTTTAAGCTATTTAAAAGCGCAGCAGTCCTGACTTGAATAGGGAAAAGTAATCCAAAGACTAAGTAAAATATCCCACAGCCCTTTTGAAGCTACTGTGCCAGGAAAGCTGAAGCTGTTGCCAAGTAAACCCTGTATAGCTGTTCTTCCGGCTCAGTTCCAGTGGGCACGACAATATTGGGGTTTTGTTCAAAGCTGGGGCTAACTACAAGTATTTGACCTGCCACGGTTGAAGGGGTATATGAAAAATATGCAACTGTGTCAGTGGAAGTTTAATTAGCACAGGGTTCTGCTGCCACTTCCATTACTGAGGTCTGTGTCATCTGTGAAGGTTTTAGTATTTCAGAAACCTCACAGTCCATTGCATCACATTATTTTTTTTTTTTGCCTTAGTTTGAGAGAACACGACTGTTTCTGTGGAGGGCTCAGGACTGCAGCTGCGGTTCCTGATAGAGCAGGCCCTAACGCATGCTGCGGTTGCGTATGCCACAGCTTAGGGCCCCGACAGCATCACAGCAGCAGCGACTCCTGCTGCTGGGTTACCTAAAGTCCCTGTGTTTGAACAATACATATAGCTAAAAATGAGCATGCTGGTGTTATGCCCCAAAATACTAGGGAAGATAGAAAAGGTGGTGTTCACAGTTGCGTGAGCTTTTCAGGGGAGGAGGGAAGCGAGCCTGTCTAAGCATTCCCTTGTCATTTGGGGGCTGCTCTGCTACTTTACCTCTCACTGTTTTTTTCTTCTTTTTCCTGCAATTTAATTAGTTAACAAACTCTCTCTTTCAGTTCTGAATTGGTTGACAAGAAAATAGAGGAGTTTCTTTCTTGCTTTGAAGAGAAAATCAAGCATTTAACTGAAGATGCTTTTAGCACCCAGGTAAACTTCATCTTGAAAAGCTCTTCCTTGAACTGCTAAATGACACCTAAACTGGAGGATTTGGTTACATCTATCTGGCATTTCTGAGGTCTTTGGGTTAGAGGACTCACCTTTAAAGCCTGCCTCTTACTCTGTTCTTCCTCTAAACATTTCTCTCTGTCCCTTTACAGTTAAGTCTGAAAGCACTGAACTACCTTGTTAATGTAACTTTCAGTGAATGTGATGGTAAATAAGGGTAGTTTTAAACCCTTTGGACCTAATTGTGTTGTCTTTTTGAAACACAGGTTACAGCTTTGATAAAACTTAAAGAATGTGAAGACTCTCATCTTGGAGAAGAAGTAGACAGGAACTGGAATGAAGTTGTGACGCAGCAGTATCTCTTCGACAGGCTTGCCCGTGAGGTTAGTGGTCTCTCATTGTTAAGCAATGCCCCGTGGAACCCTCACACATGACCTTTTGCAGCACTTCTAAATGCAAAGCATAAATCGTGGGCTTTATGCTACTAGAAACACACTGATTCTAAAACAGTGCTATTTTGAAAAGGTTCTTTTACCTAATGGAATATAGTTTGCAGAGAAACAATTTTAATCTTTAAAATTACTTGAATCACCACTGTGCTACTTAAACCTCATTCCTGTGGGTTTCAGATTGAAGCTCTGAAGTCTGTTACAAAATCAGATCTGGTCACCTGGTTCCAAGCTCACAGAAGCAACAAGAAGAAAGTGCTTAGCGTACACGTGAGTGTTTGGCAGCTCTGTGGTGCCAACTTCTGAAATGCCAAACTTTGATAACCTCAGAGAGCTCAGGAAGGCTGTGGTAGAAGAGCTCTGTAATCCAACTGTTAATGTGGTGGTTATTGACATTACTGTTTGTATTTTATTTTCTACATTTCTAATTATTAATAACCATTGTTTGAATTGCATTTAAGTATCTGTATTTAAGTGTCAGGGCAGATGAACAGTGAATGAGAGCCAAATTTCTTCTGTGGTACCTTTTTTCCAGGTGGTTGGATATGGAAAACACGAAGGGGACTCAGAGGTTACAGCTGTCTCGGAAGTACAGAATTCTTCATCTGGTGAAATACCTCATCTTATTTTCTTGCCCCCGTCTTCTCTGATGACTAATGTTACTTCCATCAAAGACATCAAAGCGTACACATCAACTCTGAATGTTCTCCCTTACCATAAAATATTAAAATAAAAATGACATCTTGCCCTGCAGTGATGTGTAATACAGGTGCTTTCTGCAACGTAAACATTACAAACCTATTCTTATTAAAACAGGGCCGTAGTGTTAGCTGGGATGAAGGTGTCCTCAGATGTTGAGGAAGCTTTCCTCAAGCAAGCTTCCAGCCAACCTTTCTCATGAACCTCCCACGTTCATTAGAAACAGGCACAGCCCTGACTTCTAGCTGGAGCGAAGGGGGAGTTTCCCCCACCACCAGAACGATGCCGGGTTCGCCACTGGAGCTGGGGGCTGCGCCTTTTTGCTCAGGCTCTTGTGCATCATTCCCCCAGTGCTGTAGCAGTCGCTCCGCAGTGGCTACATCTCCACCTGGAGGAGCTACAGCATGGGTGGGAGGGTTAAAAAAGCCTAAGGCTTCAAGCTCACACTGCTTGTGGGATTTTTTTTTTCCTGTATGCACAACATACATAGACAAAATTGAGATGAAATCAAATAAAATCTAGATTTAACTGTGAAAAGAAAAATAGTTTGATTGCTACATATAGCTACTTACTTTACTTAACCATTTTTTAACTTCAGGCAAAAGCACAGAAATGCAAAGATTCCCCAAGTGCTGGCGAGCTAGTAGAGAAGCAAGGCTGGATGTAGATTCCAGGAAAATTCTGCTGTGGGTGCTGCAAATTCTGCTCCTTTTGCTAATTCATTAACTGCTTTAAGAAGTAGGTTTAGCTAAAAGGATTCCCGTGGGGGAAAAAAAATACTACTAATACATTTCACAGAAAACAACTGATCATCACTCAGCTGAAAAAAGTCTTGCTGCAAAGGTTTATTATGAAATAAATAAAAAGTCCATAAGAGAAGTTTGAAAAATCTATTTTATGAAGCTTTAAGATGCACTGAGTAGAATTATGTATGGTTACATTTTCATCTCAAAATAACAAAGTTATTTTGGGCAAGACACTGAGATGCCAAAAGAATTGATTATCATACAGGTGGAAGATAACATTTACGTAGCATTTTCTAACAAATTGTCCCCTCAAAGGAATCCTCATATTTACACATTGCAAACATTAGCTAGATTTAAATGACGCCTTGCATTTTGTTTCTTGGTTTTTAAATATGTAGGACCCAGGAATATTACGCAACTGATACCAATGCCACGGCCTTCACAGTGGTTATACAAGGCGAATACGCTGCGCGGCCCAGGTGCCGCATGCTTTAGAAGCATCGGTAAGAGGGCTCCAGCCGCCCGCCTTTGAAGCCTGAATACACGACCAGTATAGCAGAGTCCAATGTAAGTTACTGCACAGCCAAGACGTTTCTTGTTTATTTAATTGCTTTATCTGCATCAGTAAGTCCAGTATCCCTGAGATAGGAACCACTGTAGTTGGAGGGGTCAGGTACTCCAAACGGTATGTACGTGATAACTGATGACTATCCTGGTATCAGATGTAAACTTTGCTAAGCCAAGGCTTGAATGTTTTCTGGTTTTAGAACCCACTTAATGTTTACTGGCAGCAAGTCGTTTCAATAGCGGCTCATCGTAAACCCAGCATTCTCCATCTTCATGGAATAACTAGAAAAAAGGGAATAAGCAGATGTAAGCTTTTCATGACTAAGTTGGAAAGGAACGAATGTGACAGGTTAGAGGGCATTTATTTACACTGTTTGAATAAAGCTCACCCTTGTTTCCCATGAGGTCTCATTCTCCTTTCTGGCTCTGGCTTCAGCTCTTTGTCTTTCTTCAAGCGCGTGCTTTGCAGCTGTGGCTGCATCGATGTCTCTAATTTTTAAGTTGTAGGTTACATCCTTCCATAAGCTTAAAAAGGAAATGTGAATGGAGACTGCTTTATAGAAGCAAAGTGCTACAAGGTTGTAGAAACATATTACTGGCTATTAGTCATCAATATTTGACCTGAGGTAGGTCTCACTTCTTGAAAGAGCAGAAAAAACCCAATCTGTATTAAACCACAACTGCACTGTCTATTGCCACTGAAGCTCTCTATACCTCTCTGGAACGTTTGGTCCCGATGATGTGAGTGAGCACTACAGGATTCCCCTTCCCAATTAACACCTGAAGCTGCTTGTACCTTGGCTCTGTCATGCAGCAAAGGCTAACAAGGAGCACAGTTCATCCATGCAGTGAATGGATTAATTATACCATTAGTCAGGCTGTGTACTGCAAATGGGTCTAACTAAAAAAAAAAAAAAAGTTTTAATTTGCCCGTTGAACTAAAGTTCTTACCAGCGAGACTCAAAGTCGTCTTGGTCCTCCAATTTCCTTACCTTCTTCTTAATTGTAGGCATTTTCTTGGTATCTATAAAGACAGCATTCTCCTACAGAGTGAGATTAGGGAAAAAAAGTAAATAAAAAAATCTTTATCTGGACTTAAAATTTAAATACCCTCACACTCTTAGTACACTGGTTGTCAGAAAATACATGAGAAATGTCATTCTCTAGATTCTGCTCTTGCTATAAAAATGAAGTTACTTTAAAAATTCAGGACTTTTACCCCAAATTCAGCGTTCTTGTGGTCTTTGGGGCAGATTCACAGGAGTTCCCAACTACTAATGTTTGTTTGAAAAACAAAACAAAAAACCCCACAAGACACAACTCTTTAAGCACAATCTTCCATTTCTGATGAAAAGGGAAAAAAAAAAGCTGCTTTACCCCTGTTGTGTGTTTTGCATACATGACGCCATTCCATTCTCCTTCAATTGAGCAGAAGGGTTTCTTGTCATTAGGAGAACTGAATAGAAAGAAACAGTCATTTCTTAGTTGTATTACAGTAACTGAAAGACCCAAAGGGATCAAAACTTTATGCTAGCTGCTGTACAGTCTGTTTTATATCAGCCCTTAAAATGTCCATCACCAACATAGAAAAGACAACTGTTCCATTTACAAGTGAGAAGTTTCGCATGAATTGGTTCAACTGGATAAACCTTAAAAGGAAGCGCTGTTCCAGGATAAGACAGGTCTTGCTTTAGGGCTGTATCCGCATTTAGAGTTCAGGAACCTAATCTTTCCAAACAGATCTACAGCGATAAGTTTAAGTTTAAAAAGGTTTCACAAACGTGTAGCTTCTTCCCCGGACTATTGGGAAACACAAATACGAGTTCACAAATGACATCTATCAATGTCTGTCAAGAAGTGATTTAAAGCCAAGTTATGAACCTCATTTTGTCAGCATGACTTACTGACATTACAGCAGATCTCCAAATAAGATGAGAATTGCCACAGAATTCTCTGCTCTGGGCATGTGGGTCTAGCCAAAATCCGCCAAAACACAGATAAAAATAAATACATAAAAGTCTGCAGCAGAACGTTGATGACACGCGGTGAACTGCAGTATTACAAGGCTTGCTTCAGTATTTTTACTTTAGGAGAGATAATAACTGAGAAATTTCGGACCATTCCTTTTGGTCCACAGCTAAGAATGTTTTAGAGCAGGACATGGTAGGGTGCAGGCCTAGGCAGGTTTCCTCTCTGAAATCTTGGTTGTAAAATGGCATCCCGTGACAGGTAATTGTGAGCTAAGGTAGTGCGTGTAGCTGTTCCAGTATTTTACACTCCTGACCATCTTGAAAGAACACTGTCAGCATTTAAGTAGAGAAAAAGATTAACTGAGGAAAGCTGCTTACAAAATTTCAGCTGTAACTCTGTGCTTCTTTCCTCCATAGAATGGTTTTGTGTGGAAGACGATGGAAGCGCTATAACCTGTCTTTGAGCAATTAATACTGCATTCTCCACCAAGTTCTATCCATGGCACAGTGAGAATAGACCTGCAATTATAAATATTTGTATATATTTATGACCCCTTAACCTATAAATATTAAGCATGACATATTACAAGGCATTAAAAATGAAAATGCCAAATAGAGCATTTACTTGCCTTCCATAACCATTTGGAAAGGTCAAAATATAGTGTTCATCATAATCTAGGCATGTGACACACCCTATCAAATAAAAATAAAAATAGATTTAAAAAGCATCCAGCAAAACCTCTGCAAAACCTTTAATAACGATCTCCCACAACAATTCACTAAAAAAACAGGTACCATAAAAAGGAGAGATGACCAGCTTTTTTTCATCAATGCTGAGAATGCCTAGCTTCTCGAGAAGGCAGAGACAGTTGTATTTACACAAAAAACTGGGCCCCGAGTGATTTCAGTGCACAAAGTGTGCAGAAGGAATCTCTGATTCCTAGATACAAAAGCTCTAGTTACACAAATTCAAACATTCCTTATGTTTAATAGGATGACTTTAAAAAATCCTGTAAAAGTTTCAGTTGCATAATGTACATTTCTCTGTTATAGTTAAATTTACGCACACATACCTTGCCCTATATTATGAACCCCAATAGACATTCCTAAGAATTTTGACTTGGTCCATATGTGAGCATTGAACTGTATCCTCTTGCTAAAACACTCTGCGTAAAAGGCTGAAACTGAAGAAAAAAGGTATTAAAAATTGCAGCAGAAGACATTAATACCATTGTTTCCAAATTCATTCATTAGAAAATATCTCAAAGTGCCTCATACTTCTGTGGCAACGCAGTTTGCAATTTGTTTCTCTCAAAAACAGTTTATAGAGAAAACCATCAGCTTTCAACTTTGGAGAGAAAATGTAAATCCAAGACTTAAACCAAGAGCTGACTTTGCTGTCGCTCCTATCCAGATGCCATCTCTATTAGCAAAGTTATTGTCAACTTACTTGGAGGATGATGAGAGACCTGCTCTGCCACAAACGTTACGCTGCTTTTACTGACCCAAGGAACTGGTCCTTCTGAAACTGGCTCCTGCATGAGAGTAGAGAGCATTTTCATCACTGACAGTGTTTACAAAACACCAGATGCTTGCAAGAGCGTTTGCTTCCATATTTAAAGGCTTCTATAAAAATGTATTGCAGTGATTTTAATGTATTTATCAGTTTGCTAATTTGATGGGCAATAACCCTTCACTCCTGAAGCTATGATGCTTTCTAAAGAACATGGAGCTTCTACTCTCTTGTTCTTAAGTATAGATGTATCTGGAG